GTGGCTGCAGGAATGACTTTTTTTTCCCCTCCCACAGGACAGCTGCTCCCAGCTGCTGCTGGCCACTGTGCCCCGTGGGGTGGCACGCCGGGGCGCCCAGCCCCATGCCAGGCAGTGAGATAAGGCTCAGGGAGGTGCCGTGAGTCACAGAGGGCAGGGCTGGGCTGGGCAGCCGTACCACCACACTGCCGAGCAGATGGTGCCCCAGCTCCCCGCGATGCCCCGGCACCCACGCTGCCTGCGGAGAGGGACGGCATGCCCGGGACACTGAGAGGTATGTAGGCTTGCCCCCTCCCTGACCACCTTGTGGAAATGGGGTTTCTAGAGCATGGCTGAAATAATGCCTTTCTGCAGCACTTTTCTTTTGACTTGCTGGCAGGTTTAGAGGGTTGCACAGGGAAGGTTTTAGTTGTTCCTCCTTCTCATAGCATGGAGGTGAAGGGCAAACCCCACACACTGGCATCCTTTCTGCAGGGTGCAGCTGTGCCAGTTTCATAGACAGAATTAATGAATTACCTGTGTTAACTGCAAGGGTCAAATCTGCATTTCCACCCATTACAGGATATGTGGTAGAATCAGCTGTGTGATGTCTGGTCCAGGTCAAACCCCTTTATCCATCATGGCTTTGGATGAATTTGCAGGTTGTTCACTATGCAACGCGCCAGTGCACAGCCCTAACTGCCAGGACAACTCCCAGGTGCCGACAGGGAGCCCTCGGGGTGCTGGCACCCAGGGCTTTGCTAGCTGCCAAAAATGCATTTCAGGTCCTCCCGTACGTGCAATTACTAAAAACCAGAGCACTTTGCCGTGGCTGCCCAGTGGAGGGACTGCCTCATAGCCCACACTTACCCTGTGCTTTCAGCCCCAAGAAGCGCCTCTTCCCAGCAAAGAGAGCTTGCTGCCAGCCCTGAGCACCAACGCTTGTGTCCCTCCTTTTTCCCTGGGGTTTTGGCACGGGACGCTTTTGTACAGTCTGCGATCCACAGCACAGGGATGCCTGCCGAGCTGCCGGCCAGCACTGTCGCGCCGGAGGGGATGCGATCGTTCCCCTCCATCTCTCACCGCTGCCACAGCTCTTGATTCACTGCCTAGGGAAACCTCACCGGAGAGGCGAGCTTATAGTGATTTAGCTTTGGGCTTAGCGACATGTACAGAGACCTGGACAAGTGGCCGCCAATGACAAATAAAAGAACAAGAGACCGAATCAGTAGCTGCCACAGATGGGTGACGCTCCTCTGGCAGCCGCAGGCAGCCAAGTGCAGGATGGGGCCGTGCCTGCCCCATCTCATGCAGCGGGCAGGAATGCAACTGCAGCAGGCACCAAAGTCCACCTGTGCCCTTTGCACCAGCCCCACAGCCCGGCTTTCCCGGCAGCACCTCCAGGTGTCATGTCCCACCTTGGCTGCAGTCCTGCTCCCAGACGGCGCTCGGCCACTGCAGCTAGCCCCAGCCCCGCACCCCTGCCCACCACCGCGTGCATCCTGTTCGGCTTCTGTTTCAGGATCAGGGCCTTACCCCGGTTAACCGTTGACTTGTGCTGGGGGCAGTTTCGCCATAAGATGGCCTCTCCAGCCATTTGGCAGGTGCAGCAGCTGGCCAAGCATTTCTATGAGCTGAGGAATTTATAAGTCCTCTGGCAAACAGCGCTCTCCCGTTGAGTAACTCAGCAAAGCTCAGTCGGATTGACTCCTTCTGAGACTAAAAATGGCATTGTAGCATCCTCCATTCTCCTGTGGTGGGACCAACCCTGGATACACAGTGGATGTTCACCCACCCTGAACCAGGCCCCTCCCCTGCATTTAGTTTCACAAGGAAACCCGGACTTTTGGAGGGGTGACTCGCTGGGTGTGGGCATGGGTGATGTCTGGAAGCCACCCTCTTTGGATCCGCATCCCCACCCCGCACCAAAATGATGTCTTGTTCATGGTCAGGGACCTGCTGGGAGAGAGAGGGACGTATGGGGCTCAAAAGCAGCAAAAAAAACCCAAAACCAACAACGCCATAAGTTTCTGGGGACAAGAAGTGACATTTTCCTCCGGTGCTGGGAGAAAATGGGAACATTCACCCGCCGCATCCTGGAAAACCTCCCTGCGAGGGCAAGGATCTGCCCCAGTTTCTTCTTGGCAGCAATAACTCGGCGCTGCCACAGGGCACTTCGGTCCTGAGCAGGCTTGGGGTGGAGCCTTTGCCTTACAAGGCCACAGAGCTCGCTCTTTATCAATATTTGTCCAAGAACTTTTTTGTTCCTGGAATGGTTTTTAAGCAAATAAGTTACAGGGGTTTTTTTCCGGCACAGCCTTAGGAGAAAAAATAAAAAATCCAAACAATTAAAAGAGAATACAATAGAAATCCCAGGACAGGGCTACCCTCTTGTAATGCAATCAGGTCCCAGGAATTTCAGCACCCAGGGACTTCGCCAAATAAATTTTACCTGAGATTAAGGTGAAGATAAATAGCCCAAATAAATACATGACTTCCCTAAAGTGGTAGTGTTTATCGGTTTATTTTTCCATTTCTCTTCCTCTGCAACAAAATCAATAGAAAAAACCCAAATCTGGCAAAGGAGAGCACTGTGCAATGGGCCCCAGTGAGGCTGGTGTCCCCTGCAGCAGTGGGGACTGAATGGGGACTGTTTTGCACACCCAGGGGAGTTTTGCTCCGCTCGCTGTGTCCGAATCACGGCCCAGGTCCAAATCCTCACCAGCTCCAGGCTCTGCTCATGGCGTTTGGAGGGGAACTCAACAGGCTCCAAGCAAATCAATACAAATTTCAAAGACTTTGCGACTTGCCAAGGGGGATTTAAGGACTGCTCTTCTGCTCCCATCACATCCGTCCCCTTATCAGGCACCGGGCTGGGGAGCCAGGTGTGGGAGAGGCTTCCTATGTTTAAAAAGCAAAACTTCATGCTGGAAGGAGCAAAAGGCAAGAGCCCGGTGCTGTCCTGCCAGATCCAGCCACGAGTAGCATTTGTCCTCCAAACCCTTTAAACTGTCTATTTTCAGGTCTGTGGCTCTTCCACCAGCTCAGTGAAACGAGCTTGTTCATGCCAACTCCGACACAAGTTTAAAACCCGTTTCAGGGATACCATGCCGGGGCGGGGCTGGGATGGGCCAGGACCAGGTGGCATGGGGAAGGGCTGCGGGCGCTGCAGACCCCCGTGCTACCTCCTGCGTAGACAGATTCCCACTCATGGTGACCTTCCTCTGGGAGGAATAGTTGCAGAAAGAAGTGAGATGCTGCTAGGAAGCAAGTGCGCTTAGCCGATACCTTATCAAAGACACGCTGCCGCGGTACCGAGGGTACACATATACCTTACAAGGCCTCCTTTAAAATGCAGATAAGCTGAGAGGCCACTCTCCCATGGGAAGCTGCCAACTCCCACCTGAACGGCTTCGGCAGCTCCTCCTTGCCGCAGCCTCATGGCAGACACGGGCGCAGTGGAGGGACCTCGTGGGGAGCGGTGCTGGGCTGCGGCTTCGGACAGCTGAAACGTCACTGCGGGGCTGCCGCTCCGGCCAGGCACGGGCCACCCTGGCCCACTGCAAACTCCCTCCAGGGTCTCAGGCCAAGCAGGAAAGCAGCAGCTTTCCTCCTGCAGTGAAGATGAGTTTCCTCCTTGTTTTTAAGGCTACCTAAAAGCCCCATACGGTGATGCTGCAACCTACCCCAGGGTGCAGGGGAAGCCAAGGGGAAGCCAAGGGGAAGCATCCCACTGGGGTGCTGAGGTGGGATGCCGGGTGCATCCCACTGGGATGCCAAGGTGGGATGCCGGGTGCATCCCACCCACGGGCCAAGGGGGGATGCTGCACCATGGCCAATCACATGGCCATGGGCACTTTCCCTGAAGCCAAGCCCTGGGAGGGAACCCAGTGCGGGGCTGGGCAGGGGGCAAAGCTCTTCTCTCCTCCCTCCTGACGCAGCAGCCTGAAATCACATTATAGCCCAGCCCTGCTACAACCCATTGCTCCTTATTTACCCTTCAAACAGGAAAAGCAGCTCTCAGCATAGCTCTTCTACAAATTTTCTATGTCAAGCTTCGCTAAAGGGCTGCTTTAGTTAACATTAGGCTCTTTTTAACTCTGAGCACATCTCACAGGCGATAATTTGCCTTAGGACTCCGGTGTGGTTTCCAGGACAGACATTCACCAGACTGCATCCCTGAATTTCAAAGGTAGGAGTGGGTCCCCAGCCCCCGGGAGCCTGGTGCGTGAGGTGGCAGGTGCCCGTCCCATCGTGGGGGCTGGCAGCGGGAGGGAGGGGGGCAGATGGACTTGCTTGGGTAGGAAAAAGTTTACACTCTAAATTACAACCACTCCCCATTCGCGTGGGTGAAGACGCTGCAGGATTTGGACAAGTGGAAACATGTCTGTCCTTAAGTCAGATGTCCCCAAGCCTTGCTGCTCTGCCCAGCTCAGCAGCGCTGCACTTATTCCCTTCCCTTTCTGGTTTTAAGGAGGACAAGCTTGTTCCCGCAGATTCCTCTGACTGGGCAAGGCCAAATCACAGCTTGTCAGATGGCATTTTGCAGCCCCTAATATTTGAAACCTGCTTCGCATAATCCCAGAAGGAAATCAGAAGGAACTGCAGAAAGCCATGAGTGAAAATGTGCTCCTTGAGCTCATCACAATAGAAAAGCATGGTCTGTTACTGAGAAAAGGACATGAAACAGGAGCACACAGGGCAGCAGACAGTCACAGTGAAGAGTTCAGAGGCTTAAAAATGAAGCAAGCTCAATCAGTGCAGCCTGCTCCAACGTATGGGAGCCAGGACTTCAACATCAGGGTAGGACCAAGCACATGTGCCTGATGATAGGAATTTATACATCTTCGGTGACCTCTTAGTCATTGCAAATATGCCTAAACATAGCAATTATTTTTTCATCTAATATCTTCCTGGATTCGGTGAGTTACAGGTATGCTTTATGGCATTTCCTCTTTTTTCCTCAGGGTGACTCGTGACCACTGACCACCTCCTCAGTTGTGCTATCTCTCCCCGCCACCATGCGGGCGACAGGTAAGGAGGGAGACAGAGATTTACTTTTCTCTGTCCATTTTTCTACAGTTCTTTATGCCTCCTTCTCATTTACATGTCCCCTTCCAAGTCCAGCTACCCTGACCTTTTCCCCTGCCAGGGCCATGGGAAAGGGCCTTTGTATAAGCATCAGGTTTTTAAAAGATTTGTGTAGATTTCAGCCTGTTGTATTTTTCCCAGTGAAACCCTCCGCAGCTGGGAAGAGATGGCTATTGAGACGTTCCTGGTTCCATAAGAGCCATTCAGCTGCAATATAAGTATATTTTTCTACTCTCTTTCCATGCAGGACTGGAACGTTTTGCTCTGATGAGCGCTGCTTTAAAGCCAAATGCCAATCACATTTGTATTAGCAGCTGCTCGGCTGTAGCTAGTGACTAATTGGGGGATAGCAGCCTTCCCAGTACTGGGAACATAAGAAATATTTGGATTTACATAGCTTTCTGACTAATTATCAGATTTACTTTAATGCAGAGAGAAATATGAATAGTGCCTCCCAGTAGAAGGGTAATGCCTATCTGAGCATCACCACACGCTCTAGAGATATTAATTAAGAGATCAGAGTCTTTTTAGAGGATGAAGGAAGGAGTGTTAGCTGCCTTCCCACACCACATAAGCACTGGCTGTCACCCTGTGCCTTGGTCCTGCACACATGGACCAAGTCCCCAAGAAGCCAGAAGGATGCTCTGGTCCCCAACCCGTGCTGCTGCTGCTGCTCTCACCTGGCTCCTCTCCCACCCCTCGCAGGCATGATCCGGTACATAGCACTGCTCATCACGCTGCTGGGCATCTGGTTCATCATGCAGACGTACTTTGAGCACAGATGGAAAGCTATCAGCCTGCGGAGCTGGCTCGGTGAGGCACCAGCAGGGCTCCAACCAGGTCTGGAGGGAGGGTGCGGGCAGCCCCATTGCGAGCCAGACCCCAGAGCTACACATAGTTGCCATGAACATTTGCACTTGCAGTACCTGGCCAAGGCTATAGCCACCAGCTCTGATCATCAGGGCAGGGAGGGGACAGCGTAGGTGGAAGCTGCACTGGGGCAGGTGGCTCCAGGCGTGCTTGCAGCCACAGGGAGCAGTTTTGGAGAGACAGTGCCTGAACAGCTGCTCCTGGCTTGGGGAAGAGCCAGCAGCTCTCCAGGGTGTCTAACCCTCCTGCTTGGTACCCACAGGTGTCACAGACAAGCCCAGAAGTGAGTACCGCTCTTGACTTCATCTCCATCACGCAACACCGCTCCGGGGCTGAGGGTGACGGTGGAAGCATGATAGCTACCCTCGAGAGCTCCCTTCCCAAGGCAAAATCCCACCCTCCCAAACGCAGGGGAATTTTGTCATTGCACACAGCAGCAATGTCTCTGGCGGGGTGTGCAAGCACATGAACCTTCACATGTTCTCCCTGCCCCAGCAGAAACACCCCCAGGCCAGGCTACAGCAGGAAGCAGGTTGCGGGCCCCATCCGGGCGGCGTGGCACAGGTCCCTACCCTGGCTGAGAATGCGGAAGCTCTGGGCAGAAAAGCCACAAGGGGCTGGCCTTGAATGAACACCAGCTCCGAATGCTCCCCGGCACACGCCCCTCTACAATTCCCATGGCACCAGCTGTGCCGTCCTGCTGCTCACACCCAGAGCAGCACCCAGCGCCCCGGCCAGCTTGTCCCACCCCAAGCTTTGACACCATAAACCTCAGAAAAGAAGCTGGTCCTAGTCCCAGGACAAGCCTCCTTCATGCAAGAAGCTGGTCCAGGCATTGCCCCCTTAGTGGGCCACTGTGCCTCAGTGCCAGCCCTGCTCAGCCCCTCGGGGACACAGCCAGTGTCCCCCCACAGGGCCAACGCCATGGCTTGCAGCTCCGTTCCTCCCTCGCAGGCAAGCAGCTGCCCCGGCACAAGTGTGGGAACCAGAAGAGCTGCTCCCAGAACTATTTCGCCTTCAAGATCGTCAGTGGTGCTGCAAACGTGGTGGGACCCTCCATCTGCTTTGATGGCACAGTGTAAGCAACACATGGTGTGGACAGGGCAGCCACGGCTGGCCTGGGCTTGAATAGGGCGAGTTTGGAAATAGTTTTCTTTGCTACTGCTTCTGGGGGCATTTTGCTATCTGCAGCCACATGTTGCCCCATCACACTCTTTCACTGGCCCCAGCCTCTCCAGGGCATCTCTGCACTGACTGGTGCTCTCTGCTTTCCTTTCCAGCCTCATGAGCAGCGTGAAAAACAATGTTGGCAGGGGCCTGAACATCGCACTGGTGAACGGTGAGTTGGGTGGGCATTAACCACCTCCCCACGGCTGGGGTCCCTTTCTCCCCTGGGAGGACACAGGCCACCGGGGACCCCATCCCAGGCACCACAGCTGACCCAAAAGCGCATCAGTCCAGTGTTGCATGGGTGCACAGCCACAATTATGGTTGCAAGCACTGCCAGGGAGTTGGAAACAAACCCACCTGGGTCATGCACGATGGCTCCATGAACTCCACCGAGCACCACATTCGCCATCACAGCAAATATGACACACTGAGGGAAGAGCAAAGCGTTTTGCAGCAGCAGGAACCCCAAGCTGGTGGCCAGGCAAAGCCTCGAGCCACCCCAGTGCAAACTCACTGTTTTCTGTTTTGAATTTTAACCTTCCAGGAACAAGCGGGCAGCTCCTGAAAGCAGACACATTCGACATGTACTCCGGAGGTAAGCGCGGTTGCTTTGCTGCCTGGTGGTTCCCAACCAGGGCTCACACCGGCACTGCTGGCTCCTCTGTCGTGTATTTAATGATAAAGTCTAGTGGACTTTGCCCAGGATTGCCAGCTCAGGCAGTAAAAGCTCAGCTTTCCCTGAGGCCATTGAGCCTGGAGTCCTCGGAATGCATCCGCATCCAGATTGGTTTCTCACTTCTCTTAGGTGCACGTAATAGCCTGAAAAACATAATTCCACTAAACTGAATAAACCAGGGCACTCGAGACCTGAGAAAGGCTACTTTCTGAGATCAGGTAGTTACACTAATCCTGAGATTTTGCAGCTTTCAACTCAGTTTTTGAATGCTGGTGGTGGCTGAGCCCCAGCTTGTTCCCCTGCCTCTTGCAGGAGGGTAAATGAGGAGCTCAGGGCATGGGGAGTGGAGCCTGGTGGCAGCAAAGACCATGACCCTGTGCCTGCTGGCTTCAAACAATCTTCCTAACAGCAAGAAGATGCCCTGAGCTGGGGCAGCACCCTCTCACAGCCCATCCGGCACTGACTTGCAGGATGCTGTAAATCTCACCGTTGTTGCAAACCTGTTACCAAAATTTCCAGAGTTTTGGCAGGAGTCCTCGAAATCACGTGCTAAAACCATGTCTATAGTGCTTTTGTTTTACACCCTTTGCTCTTTGAGCCTTCTCCAGGGATCAGTCACCCCTTTCTGCTTTTTGGTTTTGCAACTTATTCTTGGTAACTCTGTAGTTTTAAGGAGAAACATCAATATTATAAGATTTCCGTCTAAGTTTGCGAGCAAGACGCGCGGTGGGAGAGGCACCGGGAAGGAGACAGCAGTCGGCTCCTGTGCCACTAGATGGGGCATTGGACTCGAGCATCCCATGGATGCGGGATGAGGAATTTTTCCTGCAACACAGCTGAAGGCAGGATTGCAGGGCAGGCAGTTCTGCAGCTGAGCAGGCTCGTTTCTGGTGCTTGGAAGTAACCAGATTTCACAGTTAGTGAGCAAACTTTAGACGCAAATTCCCCCCCTGCAGTTGTCGTGCTGGCAGGAGGAAAGCGCCAGCCCCCGGCACTGCAGGAGAGCCCAGGTGGGAACACAAGATGGGAAATGCAGCATCTGGGAGCCAGTCCTTCCCCAAGCCCATGACCCCGAATCCTAGCTAGCACCAGCACAGCCAGGATACTTCCCACCGACCCAGAGGAGGTTCCCCCAGCTGCCACGCAGCTGCTAAATCCCTTTTTCTTTCCCTAATTCTCTTCTCTCCCAGACATTAACAAACTGGATACCTTCCTCCGAGAGATCAAGCACGGCACCATCGTGCTATTGGCCAGCTACGATGATGCTGCCACAAAGTGAGTTTGGCCCTGGGAGTGATGCCTGGCTCCCCAAAAAACAGCAGCTGGGGGGAGCTGGAGGTGGTGCTGCCAGGAACAGAGAGGGGACAGGAGGGAACACCCACCTGGCACCACACTAACACCTTCTTTCAGGATGAACGACCAAGTACGGGCACATTTTGTGGAGCTGGGCAGCAGCCACGTGAGCCAGCTGGGCTTCCGGGACAACTGGGTCTTCTTGGGAGCGAAAGGGCTGATGAACAAGAGCCCCTTTGAAGAGGTATGTGGCCCTCCCCTGCCACCAGCTTTGGAGGCTCCTTCTTCTTCATAGCACCTCCTGAGCTCCATCTCACCTACCTGTCTGTGGAAGACGTGGGCCAGTGGTGTTATCCCCCATGTCGAGCCAAGCTGCAAGTTTTGTCACGTTGCAAACTTGCACTATGTCACCAACGTCCTCATTCATTTTCTCGCTCTCTTTTTTTTACTCCAGCACATCAAAAATGCTAAGGAGACAAATAAATACAACGGCTGGCCTGAGCTGCTGGAGATGCAGGGCTGTGTCCCCATGAAGATGGATTAGCATCAAGCCCCAGCCTGCCACAGAGGTGAGACCAGTCTCGCCAGGACACCAGCCCCATCGCAGGGACCCCAGCCCCATCACGCTGACCCCAGCCCCCCCCAACCCGGTCACACAGCCCAGCAGCAGCTGCCTGATCCCAGGGACCAGCTGTTCCACAGCAGGGGCTGTGCAGGGCTTGGAGAAGAGCTGTGCAAGTGCCTGCAGAGCCTGAGCAAACACCCAGCCAGGTTTCAGCCAAGCTGTCCTTGTCTATGGGTCAATTTGGGGTATTTTATTTTTCTGTCTTTAAACCAAAAACTTTGTAGAAGGTTTTTCAGATCTTAAACAAGATATCTGATTATAAAACACTACCTTCTCACTTCATTTTCAAGCATAATCCAGGCTTTTCCCTGCAGGCACAGCATTGCCATGTCCTCTGCCACCAGCTGGGCATCACCATCACCCATCCCACGGCACTGCACACAGGTGCTTCCCCTCCGCCACGGCACAGGGCAAAGACGTTCCTGGGGATGCTCAGGCCTTGGTGGTTCCCCCCCGGGAGCTCCTGCCAACCCCCCGCTGTCTCCTATGGCCACAGTAAGGCCAGATGGCCACAGGGATGGCTTGCAGCAATATAGGTTAATATTTGTAGACCAAAGTGTTTCCCACACCTGGTTGCATCTTTCCTGGGTTAAATCCAAGCTAAATCCTCCGTGGTACATCCCCATCAAAGGTCAGGATAACGCCAGCGAGGTGCCAACCTGACTTTGCTCGGCAAAGAGGCAGGGATGGATGCGCAAGTTTCTCAAGCCAGCTGAAGTTGTGCAGCATAACCAATAGGTGGGAGCCTTTTACCGGGAGAGCCGGAGCCAGCATCAGTCTGGAGCTATACAACACACCCGGGCTGGCACCCATGCACCCGCTTTCCTCCAGGAGCTGCACCCCAACCCAGGGCCAGCCGACACCACTGGGAAAGGAGACACCCCTGCCCAAACACAGGCCAGCAAAGCCCCACAGACCTCCTTCCAGGGTGGTTCCCATGCTGCTGCCCAACATCGAGGAGGTCCTGGGGGAGCATCTGCCCCCGACTCGTGTCCGGGTGCATTCACCCAAGCACCGTCTGTACCCAAAACCTCCCTGAGAGCAAGCAGTGCTGAGATCAGATAAGCTGCATGAGTGATGGCCTGGGCTTATCTGTCATCATGGACACGGATAAATTTGCATCATATACAGATTTTAATTTCCTATGATTGTATCGGTTTTTTCCCCATTCTTTAAAGCAGACCAGCAGTTTTGCAGAACATGAGGGTGGAGCATTTCTGCTGGAGCGCTTGGAGCTGTGCAGGGTAACACAAGGCAATCCTGGACAGCCTTTTCTGCCTCTAACAGCAGGGTTTGCCCCAGCACAGCTTCTACAGGCAGTTCACATTTGTTTTCTGAGCCCACAGGTCACCCCAGGTGAGCAGAAGAAGTGAGGAGCGTTGGCAGGATAAGGCCAGGAAGAGACACAGCCTGTCCTACACTGGCCACGTTGGGGATGAAACCCTGGATCCAAAACCCAGCACCACCATCCAAAACTAGTGAGGCAACCGGTTTTCCCTAACCAAGGAAAAATCCCAAAATAAATTGTGTAACACCTACAAGAATTTCCAAAGTCAAAACTGAAATAAAACTGCCAAACAGCCATCACAGAGGAATTCCCCAATAGCTGTAGTATTTTACCCCAGCTTATCCTCCTGCGCTCTTAATGTGCACCTGATCGCACCAAGGGAAGCCTCCACCATAAATCGATCCCTAAATCTGCTGCAACAGCAGCGGTTAATCCCAAGCGCTGAATCATCCCTACCCATGGCAGCAGCGAGAAATAACACAACGCAACAGACACAACAGCCCTCACATCACACAGCCCTGCCACACTGCCAGCATAAATATGCCAACTATTTTAAGCCCCCTCAAAGGATCTAGATTCGCTCGTAAGCCAAACTGAAAACGGCCTAAGAGCTGTAAAGGTGGCTGTATGGGGTAAACTGGCACACAGCATCAGCTACAGCCCAGAAAACAACCAGCCCCTTTCAGCCACGGGAAGCTCTTCCTAGCCCTGTGCAATGCACATTAGAAATCTGGTTTAAAGACAAAATAAAGGAAATTTCTTTTTCAGCACACTACCAACAGTTAAAACTAGCTCCAAATCTATTGCTGAGCAATTACTAAGGTACACCACTATTTTCAATAAATAGGGAGAGCTGAAAGTGCAACTCCTGTGCAGGGACCTTAATCATCAGCCAGTGTTTTGAGGAGCCATTCCTGCCAAAGTCACCATGTCCCAATAAATAAATCTGAGTTTTTCAAAAGTCCAGAATCTGGGAGGCAGGGGTATAAATATGGCTTCAGAAGTCAAATTTAACTTGCTCATCTTTTAAAAAGGTCTGAAAAGGCTGCTGAGTGCAGGGACAGCGATCCCTAAATGGAGTTTTTTAGTGCCTTGGCATTTTGAAAGCTGTATTACTGCAAAGACAGGCACCTACCTGGCTGGTTTTCACCATGCTGCATCCCCCAGAGACTTCAGCAAACACAAGCCCTGACCTGCCCGGCCTCCCAGGACGCAGCTCCGGGTAACCTGGGCTCACCATGGGGCCACGGTGTGCTCCAGCAGCAAACAGGCAGCCTGGGGCGTTCGCAGGAGCAGAGTTTGCAAAATCCAGTGTTGGGTAGGAGCCAAGAGCCAGGATGCAGGCAGGTAGCAGAGGGATAATCCTGTCGTATTTTGAGGGTATGGATTTATTTCGGCAAAGCACCAAAGCAGCAGCTAGGAAGGATGCCACAGGCGAGGACCAACGGGTGCCGGGGCCCCACAGCCAGGCGAATCCACATCCTGTGACATCTTGCCCTGTCAAGTGCAATTACTGTAATCTTCCACAGCCTCTCAAAATACGGATCCCAGCTTAGAAACCGGGCATCCGCAGCATGAAAGCTGCCTTTGTGCCCAGGCAGAGCCTGGGCGCGAGCCAGCCGTTAGGTGCATGAAGAAAATGAGTTCTCCACGTGCTGGGAGAAGGGAGGAAAAGCAAGCTTTACCACTCGGCCCCGCTGCAGACGGGCTGGATTTCACCCGTGTCTCCCCGCAGTGGCCGCCGAGGGGCCGGGAGCTGCACGGCCACGCATCCCCCCGAGAGTAACGGGGCCAGTGACCGCAGGGAACCGGCCAGTCCCACACCCTCGGTGAGCAGGGCACAGCCGGCACATCGGACCATGGGGGCGGCTCACGGGAAAAAGGTAACGGGGCGGTTTTATTTGGGGCTACTAAAGCGGTGGCGGGATGATGGAGAAGGCACCATCTGCTCACATGTTGCTTGTTTTGCCCCGCGCGTGCTAAGGCAGCTGATGGCAGCAAGGGATTAGAGGGAACAGACACATTCCCAGCGCGGGTGTCACTTGTCAGGGCTGGATTAAGTAATTCCACCTGATGGGCTCAGCATGGAGGCCTGCCGGGGCTTTCAGGACAGCAAGGAGGGGATCAGAGCATTGCATTACGACAGGCAAAGTTTGGCTTTCTGGGAAGAAACATCAGGCTTGCTCCAAGCGCATCCAGCAGCCTGTGGGCGGTGCAGAGTGAGCCCCAAGTATTTCTTGGGCTGTGAATTGCTGCCAGCTCCCTCCCAGGACAGGGAGGACCCAGGCCAGGTCCCACAGCACCCACACACATCTCCCTTTCCTCCAAATCCCCCCGGGAGAGCACTCAAACAGCTCCGAAAGGAAACAGGGCTTTACGGAGTCAGAGCCATGCAGAGGCACAGAGAGATGGTTGTGCTGAGGATGCTGTTAGATGTCATTTTGCTTTCATGTCTGATGACATTAGTGCCTACAGATGCATCATCACTATTCAGTTGTGATGCCTTGATCCGGTATTAGACTTCTGGAGCTTGTCTCCCAGCTCTAAGAAATGCACTTGTGCACCACACTAGGTCAGTAACTTCTACTGCAACGGGGACAGCAGTGACCCTTTGACCCAGGAGGGACCCTGCATGCTCAGCTGAGCATGGTCTGTGGCCTTCAGAGGTGTGGGCACATCCAAACCAAGTGCCCTGCAGAAGTTTGCAAACCTGCTGGGCTTTCTTCCAAAACCAGAGCTAGACACTGTTGCAGGGGAAACATGCGTAAAAGCAACCCACGGACCAGCATTACCAACACCCGGAAGGAAAATCAGTGCTGATGTGGGACAAGGAAACATTTATCTATTTTCCTGGACCTCAGAGAAGTGCCAGGTACAGGAGGTGCTGCTCCCAGCCAGCCCTCTGTTTCTCCGGCACCCATCTGAGGTGCCAATGCTGCGCTGGCTCCAGCACACAGGAGAGCCACAGTCATTCCCAGGGCTCAGGGCTACAACGGCACACCCGGGAGGAGCTGCGCTCTGCCTACAGCTAATCCCCAGACCTTTGCTCACATGGCCGTGACCTTCAGGCCTCGGCGTATTTGTACGGGCATTACTGAAAGCAGGGAAATAAGCTGGTTAGGTCAGGCTTGGCTCAGCGCCACCCAGTTCAGCCCTGCTGCACTCAAAGTGATCTATGCCGGCCTCCCGACCCCCAGACTGGATGGCTTTTGGACGGCTTTCCAAAACACCACAATCCCTCCACAGTCCAGCACTGAACGGCCTGGCTTTGAAACGCTCCCAGGAGCTCGGGCTCTCCCGTCACGCCAGCTCACCCTCAGCTCGCTGGCAGCCCCAAAAAGCTCTGAGGCAGTTTTACTTTCATGGGCACCAAAAGGTCAGAGATTTCACTCCCGTTTCAGCCCCCCAAACATTGCCCAGGTTGACAAAAGCCTGTGCCACCTCATGGCTAGCACCAAGCAAGGGACACCTGTGGCAGCTCCTGGGTCAGTGCTTTACACTTAGGCTGAAGCTGATGGGGGATGGAAAAAAGACAGCTCCTTCTGCTGCATTTCCAGGGTGGGCATGAACAGCAGGCTCCAGCCCTCCCCAAGGACCAGGTTGGGTCCAGGTGATGGGCAGGAAAGCTCTT